TTATCTGTGGCACTTTCTTTCCTCTTCAGTTCTCTGGAAGCTGGGCACTCCATTTCTTCATTGCATTTGTTCCTTCCGTTATTAAACAATATGGGGTCTCCAGTGTGCTGGGCATGTATCCTGGGAGTACCGACGGGTAGAGGAGGCTTCATTGCCAGGCACCTCATTCACTGTTGTGTGTGGTTTCTCTTCCTCCCACGTGTGCCAGCCCCCAGAAGGCAGGGCTGAGTCTTACAAGGATGCAGTGTTGGCATTTCAGCACATGGCAGGCAGCAGATGCCCAGTGAAGGTGGGCTGAATTTGGAGGTCAGTGCTGAGGATTTTAAAGGCTTTCCCTTTCAGACTGTCGGATGAGGTAACCATCTTCCTTTTTTCTAAAACGGGATAATGTATGTGATGTATCAAGGCAAGTTATCCTCCATCCGTTTCTTTTCCTGTCCTGTATCACGCTATTTCTATTCTCACCGTTCCTTTGAGACCATCATACCAGTTTCTCCTGCCCTGACTCTCCCCTTTTCCTTTCCTTGCTCTGACGCCATAGACAGCAAGAAATACACACACACATATATATATGTCTGGTTTCATATTTCTTTATCCCTGTCGCTTCTTAATATGTATGTGAAATGCGGTTGTCTCCCTCTGTACACGTCTCTCTCGATATGTGTGTGTCTGTTGGGACTGTCAGGAGAATCTGGCTCCACGCCTCACAAGAACACCCCCGCTGTGTGTGTTTGTGACATCTCGTGCTGCTTCTGCTCCTGCAGTGTATATGTTCCTCCTGAATCTTAAGCATTTTTGATGGCAGGAAAAGTATTTGTTCACTTAGATTAAACCCATATTCGAACACCCACTACATCATGTGGGCACAAGTGACTGATAAAGCAACAGAATTTTTACACCTGCATAATCTGCCTTCTGTGTAGATACCTGGTTGCCAATGCCATAGGATCATACAGAGGTGAAGTTTTGGGGGAAAGATGTTGCAGCTTGGGCTGGCGTAAGGGTAACGGATAAAACTGAATCCTAAACAGAGCTGAGCTTCATTGCTTACACTTAAAATTTTTATTTTCCTTGCCCTTTCAACATTTTAAAAAAATGGCATGGGGAAAACTTGGGATTAACAGCAGGGAGAGCATTCAAGTTACATATCTTGGCAGATCTTTCTCCTTTTTTCTTTTTATACCCTCGGTTTTTACTTTATTTCAACTTTTATTATAAAGAGTCCATGCCATACAAGTTTGTTACATGAGTAACTATGTGATGCTGAAGTTTGAGGTTCCATGGATACCATCACCCAGGCTATAAGCATAGTACCTAACTCCCTCTTTTGAAGAGAGCTTGTGTATAGTAAGCTCAGTTTCCCCTGGAAAGCAGTAACATTAACCTTTTTTGGCCCAAAGTTTTGTTTCTTAACCAAATTTAGATGAGAGGCACCTCCACAGTTAGGAAGGTCCTCCATGGACACAAACTAATAAAAATGTTTATAGAATTTTGGTCATTTGATAGAAACAAAATGAGGAGCCATCCTCTGAAAAGGAGCTGGAAGTCCTTATGAGCTGTGGTGTGTTGGAAGGTCTTGGTCAGGTTATTCCTGGTCAGGTTTGGGAGCAGTTCTGCCCCATGCTGGAAAGGCTGGAACTCCCGGTTTCTCCCAGTCACAGATTCCCTCTACCCGAGAACCTTGAGCACTCTTAAACCAATGCCTCTGGAAGCCCCTTATCTATTCAGACCCATCACTGTGTAACTAAATAAAGGAGAGAAAATTCATGTATAAGAACATGGAGTTGCAGAGGAGACTCTGTTGAATTAGCTGACAAACCACCAGTTTGAGGAAGAGGAAAAGCCCTGGCCTGGTGGGAGTCTCCGCTCAGTCTAGTTCTCGCTGAGCCCAGGAGTCAGGACTGCTGGGCAGAGGGGAACATGCCTGTGTTTATTCCGTCAGATGGCACTTATGTCTTCCTGCTGGATCTCTAGACACTAACTTTCCTATAGTTTCCTCATGTACTAGGAGGGGAGATGGACTGCCATAAAGGAATAAAACACAATCACTCACTACAGTTAGGAGAGACATGAGCAAGAGGCCAGGGAAGCCCACAGGAGGACAGGATTCCTAATAAAATCCTGACTAGGCGTGGGAAGGAAGAATTAAGGACTGTTTCTTCAGAGAGGTGTTGGCTTTAGCTGAAGAAAGAGGAAGGGGCTTTAACTGGACAGATTAAGAGTGGTGACCTGGAGGGACTGAGGAGAAGGACATTCCAGGAAGAGGAAGGCCTGCAGGGAGTCTTGAAAGAAGTCAGTCCAGGAGGCTCTGGCAGAAATGAGGGGCCTTATTTTGGGAATCTCCTAGCATAGCAACAGGGGGGTCTGTGCCTGATTCTGTAAATAATGTTTTATTGGAACACAGCCCATCCATTCGTTCAGCTGTTATCTGTGGCTGCTTTTTCATGACAACAGCAGAGTTCAGTAGTTGAGACGGGGACCTTGTGGCTCACAGAGTCTTAAATATTTACTTTCTGGTTCTTTACAAAAAAAGTGCTGACCCTTAACTTTATTCCTTGAAATTCTTAATGAATGGACCCACACCGTCAGCTTTGGGGCTTTGCTCGCAGGCCTTCGTGGACCTGTTAGTTTATTTTCTCATTCAATGAGCCTGCTTCACCCCGCCCTACCACACCACCGTGTCAGTAGCCTCTAGTTGGCAGTGAATATTCCAGGAGTAGAATAGTATCTGTGGTGTAAAGGGGGTGGCGTTTCCACGCCAGGTACCCCCTAAAATGTCTGATTACCAACTGCAGGCTCTCATAGACTGTGCCTAATTTCGTGGAACCTCTGCTGCTGCTCATTTGCTTGGCCAAAACCCCCCATCATGCCAAGTAAGCATTGGCAAGCAAAATCAGAATTAAAAATAGTGATAGGTATAATGGTTGCTGCAAAATACTATTCTCTGGTGAGGCATTCCATTTGTTAGGGCTTCTGGAGCTCTTTCCACCTCAAGTCTGCATCTATTTCAAAAACACAGAATGCTTTTCCAGAAATGTCTGTACATTTGAAGTGCTGTTTTCCCAGATATAGCAAGTGAAAGTTGTGTGGAATTATATAGCAAATGCCAACTTTTAAGCACCTACTGTGGTCTGTGGTATCTGCCATTGGGCATTCCAGGACAGCCTCTTGATAGGTGTTGATTTAGTAAGAGCTGGATGAAATAGAGGCAGTCATTCCTATTTTACACATCATTCAACAGGGGCTCTGACAAGCCGAGTAACCTCCATTTTAACTACTAAGAGACCCATGAGAAAGAGGGTATTTTTTTATGCTCTAGTTAGTCTTAGCAGATAGAGGGCTTATTGAAATACTTGAATCAAGAGGTCAAGAATTTTGGTGACAGACTATCAAAATAACTGGTTTTCAAGGGGCAGGTGAAATCCTCCTTAGCACCAACTTCCGTCTCAGTCCCAGCAGCCACTGAGTTATTTCAGTACCCCTGTGAAATACTATTGCAGTTTGGAATCTAGTTTTTGATTATTGCTTTCTTTAGAAAACTATCAGCAGTAAGTAATGATATTTTCCAGACATTTCTGGAAAATATAGTAGGTCTGAAAAGAGAAACGTGTAGGTTTAGGGTTGTCCTGTTTTCCGACTAAAATGGTCATTCCTACGTAACAATGTGATCATAATCTTCCCCTCTATAACATTATTCCACCATGTTCTTAGGGTAAAGGTGAGGGTACTTATTGTGGTATTTGAAGCCTTTCCTGTTGCGTCTCCTGTCTGGCCTGAGTAGCTCACACTTCTTTCTGTTGGAGACCACCTCAGTTCCTTGAACGGCATCGTTAGATTGTCCCTTTGGCTGGCTCACTCCCACTTTGTCTTCACATCTTGGCTAAGATGTCACTGGATGCAGGAGGCCTTCTTGGAGCTTTGGAGAGTAGGCTGGGTGTCTTTCCTTGCCCAGCCCTGCCATAATGCCTGTTATACTGTTGTTCCATTGTTCATTGTTCATTTATTTGTATGTTCTCCACCATTAGACTGTAAGCTTCGTTTAATTTTTTTAATCGACATAATTATACATATTTATAGGGTACTTAGTGATGTGATGTTGTGATACATAAAATATATAGTGACCAGATCAGGGTAATTAGCATTTTCATAATCTCAAACATTTCTCATTTCTTTATAGCTAGACAGGAGGAATAAGCTCTGGTGTTCTATAGCACTGTAGGATGGCGCTAGTTCACAATAATATATGGTTTTAAATAGCTAGGAGGACTATATTGAATGTTTCTATCAGAAGGGAATGACCCTTAGCTTCTCAAAGGCATTTGTTTTCATTTTGACCCTACAGTTACAAGGAATAGGAACCCATTCAAGCTAGCTAATATAAAAGGAGTTTATTGTGAGGAAATATTTGAAACAATAAGGAGACCTTCATGGAAATCTAAGGACTAGGTCTGTAAGAAGCTGTATCCCATGGATGCAGGGTGGGGGTTCCTTAGGATGGTGCAGATACATCTTATGACTCTCTGTGCACCAGCTCTATTCACATCTCTCTGGCCTACTGGCTTTCTCAGCTCATGCAGTTGTCTTCACGAGGTCTGTTCATGGCCCCAGCTTGCCCACATAGCCTAGAATGTCCCTACCAGTGCTGGAGGACCCTCGTAATCACATGGCTCTATTTTCTGCTCCCTGCTTGTTTGGTTTCTCAGTTGCCCAATTGCAGATTTCTAAGCAGGCACTCTGGTTGGCCTGGCTCACTCTTTTAAGCCGGGCCACACATGTTGTCATAGGTCTCTGACCATCCTGTAGGTGGGCTGTCCTCAGGTCAGTCATCACTGTGAACCAGTCAGCTATGTTCGAGCTGGAGGGGCTCCATGTATCAGAGCATGGCTGCCAACAGAGACCTTTCTTTTTTGGTTTCTCTCCCTACCTCTTGGCTTACAAGAATGTTAGGCTTGTGTTTTATAGATCTCATTGTATCCTTTGTTGTTTTTCATTCTTCACAGATATCATTAACGGAGCTCAAGAAAAATGTGTATTGCCTCCTATGGACGGCTACCCCCACTGTGAGGGAAAGATCAAGGTAAGGCAGAGGCGAGCAAGGTCATTTTCATCATCCCCAGTCTGCACAAACACCTCTTCTTTTTCCTTTCCCTTCCTTTTCCTCCTCAGTGATACAAATGGGTGAGTGAGCCCTTGACATAAATCATTTATGGGGTGTCTCCATTCTGCTGGCTTTGGCTGTGGCTATGACAACCCCGCTCTGCCTGTGTCAACCATGTGGGATTGGTCAACAGTGGTGCTCACTGTTCAGCATGAGAGAGCCTGGACCATTTCAGGCACCTGCTAAGTCTTTGAAGCTGACTTCCCCTCTCTGTTTCCCAGCCTCCAGCAGGTGATCCTTCGAGGACCAATGACAAGGAACTGCCGTTATTTAGTGTCCAACTCCCCACCCTCTCAGTCCCCAGGCTCCTGCTCTGAAGCCTTCAGATTGTGGTTTAAGTGTCACATTTGTATTTGTGGTTGAGTACCCAGAGACACTTGGCTGCTCTTTTACTTGGCTGCTTTTTTTTTTTTTCTTCAGAAATCCCATTTGTATGGCCTGTCCCTGGGGAGACCACTCCCTGCTCAGTAGTTTTCAGAGAAAAGTGTCCATTCAGGGATGTAGTTATGACAGTGGGACCAGCCCCAGAAACATTTGGGTGGTATCCATGTGGGCCGTCTGTCAACACTCACTTGTGCCCTCCTGCACACACTGTGTTTCAGGTACCATGCTGTGGGCTGTTGGAACTGGAGTTCCTGGAGGGGGTGTAGATATCAGAGTCCCATTAGGCACTTGATCTTAGTAAAAATCCCCGAGCCACCGCCTCTCCTGGGCTTTATTGCCTGCTGTACCACAACCTTACTCTGCACTCTAAGCACTTCTGCTGAGGCCTAATGTAAGCCAGTGTCTTCCTGTTAATCATCCAAGGAGGTGAGCTGCGCACCTGGCTATCTTGACCTTAGCTCAGTGACTCTGTCACTCAGTTCTTTAGGCCACAGCTTGAGCCATCCACTCCGTCTTCACCATTCCTATCCTCGCCTTCCCTGTCAGCAGATGTGGAGGGCCTGTGAATGGGCTGCTCAGAGACGTTCTTCTTGTTTCAGTGGATGAAAGACATGTGGCGTTCAGATCCCTGCTACGCAGACTATGGAGTGGATGGGTCCACCTGCTCTTTTTTTATTTACCTCAGTGAGGTGAGTAGCTTTCTGTGGCTCCTGGGGGCAGATGTGACTTGTTGGACTGTGCTGTAGCTGAGTCTGAAATTTGAAGAGCTTAAAAACGTGTGGTATTTTTATATGGAGGACCTATGATTCCGCCCTTCATTACTTTCCCTACTCCTCAGGAAGGATGATTTTTTTTTCCCCCCTTGAGGGAAAAATAAGTGGAGTTAGTTAGCTATTTCCTTTTTTCCTAGTTTTGTTTTTTTTTTTTTAATTGTAGTAAAATAGACATAATATGACATTTGCCATCTTAACCATTTTCAAATGTATAGTTCAGTGGCATTAAATATATTCACATTATTGTTGCAACCATCACCACTGTCCATCTCTAGAATTCCTTTTATCTTGCAAAACTGAGCTTCTAGACTCATTGAAATCTAACTCCCCGTTAAGACCCTGCTTTCAGTTGTTTTGGAAATATACCCAGAAGTGAAATTGCTGGATCATATGGTAATTGTATTTTTAATTTTGGGGGGAACCGCCATACTGTTTTGTACAGCAGCTGCCCCATTTTATACCAGCAGTGCACAAGGATTTTAATATCTTCATATTCTCACCAACACTTGTTATTTTCTGGTTTTGTTTTTTGAATAATACAATTATTTAGAGAAAGGATCATTGAGCTTGGGTAGGTATAAAGGAGTCAATATTGGGAATTCTCCTGGGTTTGTCAAGAATAGATGCCATATGAGCTGAATCTTGAAAATATGTGTAAGAAGTAAGTTAGGTAAATGAAAGACAAAAGTGTATTCAAGGCAGAGAAACACCATAGGGAAAGTTATGGTATCAGTTGCACAGTGGGAGTGGCGGGACAATGGACATAGGCAGGGGCTACCGCTTGGGAAGTATGGAATACTCTCCCAAAACCTGGGAATGTGGGTAGACCTACCTGCTGATAGACTTTATCTTCAGGTCCTCTATGCCATCAACATACTCATCCATGCTGCGGTGGAATTCAATGTAGCTGAAGCTCCTGCTCTCTGTGTAGCTATTTTTGGAATTCTCCCAGTGACACTTGAGTACATTGGGGGCATTCTGGGCCCATACATATGCATGTCTATAACAGTCATTCCAGTTGTCATTAGCACATGTATGCTCAATTTGGTACCCTGAGATTTAGATGAACACGTGGGAGCTCTTATCTTTTAAAACACTTCTTTTTCTCTCATGAGGACATCACATCTGTACTCTTGGACATGGGTAGTGATGTTTTATGAATTGCCTCCAGTAGATGTTTTTCTTGTGTACAAGCAGCCTGCATAGGATCAAAGCAGGGCCAAGAGTGGGCTCCAGATCTTTAGAGAGGTTGCCATCTCAGTCAGCAGGGCCACCCTATTCAGATTCAGCGTTTGAGTCACTGCTCATAGTAGGGATTAGTGTGTGGATCTGAACAGCAGAGTCTATGTCCTCCTCCTCCTTTTACAGCCCAGGAAGCATTTACTGGTTTATTATAACAGAAACAAGTCAGAAACAGCCAGAGGGAAGAGATGCGTAAGACAAGTTTGGGAGGGAAGTAACTAAAAGTTAGTTACTTTTACCTTTTTTCCCCTAAATCTGAGCCTCATTTTCATTTGTACCCTTGAATTTAAATAGCAGCTTTTGTATTTTTTTTTTTTTTTTAGCGGTTGCAGAAAACTTTATGGGTCACTTGAATCTCGTACAGGCTTTAAGGATATCCATTTCACCTAGAATCTAGGGAATAAAAACCGGCTGGCTTCCCCTCTATGGACTGGGGGAGGAAGGGGTCTTTGGGATCTTGTGGTTCTAGCCAATTCTGAGGTCATGCCTCCACAGACCCTCTGCTGCCCTTTTTTTAATTCTGTCCCCCATTTTTGTTTGCTGTTGCTGTTGTTATTTGACCAATAATAACAGCTGGTGATACCATGCAGGAAGGAGAACACCTTCATTTTTGAGGCTAAATAAAATATTCTTGCCATGGTTTTCCTTGTGGGATTCAGATGCCTCTCTTTTCTTTGCCATAGGGTGATGGGGACAGAGGCCAAACAGTATTGCTAATAGGACATGTGGCCCTGATTCCGTGGGATTTGCCCCTCTCTGACTATTACTTCTTTTGCCTGGGTACATTGAAGTCACACAAAAAGTGTGTGACTTGGGGGGTCCAACCAGGCTCCATGATTTTTTAGGGGAAGAGGGACAAGGTTGTTCCATTGCCATCATGAAAACCCCAGAGCTAATTCTAGTTAAAATACCTCTTGGAAATGAACAGCTCTGAGAGTTGTGTGTATGAGGCTCCTCATTAGCAGGCTGCTGGCAAATTGACTTAGTAGCATTTATTTGAGTTTCTGGCTTCGTGCTTGGGTGGCCTGTGGTCTGCCTTCTCATTTCCTTCTCCAGAGGAGTAAAGCCTGGGGTCACGTGTTGACCTTCACTCTAGTTGAAAAGTCAATTAGAAGTACCTCTCCTGCCCTGAGGAAAAGGTTCCTCATTTAGTTTAATTTTCAAAAGTTTTATTCCCCTTTCTACATGATAGAATTTAGCCAGAGTCTGACCGGGCTCCATGATTGACAAGCTGGGCTGATTTCATGCTTTCCTAAGCCTTTGCATGTTGGGGTGTGCTGCTGAGGCAGAGGATTTTCATGCCCATACTTCCATCTCCTGGGAAGGCATAGAGAGTGATCCACATGGAAGAGACTGAAGTTATTTGTGACTTTTTCCCCTCCCTTTGTCACACCTCACCCCTGTCCCCAATGAAGTATATGGCTAAGCTGAGAGAAAAGTGAGGTTCTGGGGAAGGGAAGTAGGGAGGAATACGGGATGAAGAGACATGATGGATCACATACACTTGCTATCTGAGGCTGAGTATTTCATTTTGGAACTATGTTTTCTCTTCCTGAGGTGTGAAATATGCTTCATTAGCCCATTCCACTCTCTTCCTACGCAGATGATCGGGTGGTCTTTTTGTTACTTGGCTGAATTCTATTCAGTGAGCAGTTATTGAATTCTTTGTCAACAGTTAATGAAAACACATTTTCTTGACACCATGTTATGTGTTAATCATTGTAAAAGCAACAGGAAGAAAGGATGCAGGTAACCGAACCAGGAGAAGGGGTGGAGATATCTAGGGAACTCTTCTTAAAAGTTTTAATCTGAGTGTAACCCTGAACCTCTGGGCTTTTCTATGTTATCATAGCATTGTAATAAGTACCCTATGAGAGTTAAAGGAGAATTTCACCAATATGGTCCCTTCAATAGGAATACTACCTTAGAGTCTTACACCTGACTTCAGCTTCTGTTTCTGCTGCTTTCTAAGCTCTATGAGGTCACTTAACCTTTTGTGCCTAGGATTCTTCCTTTATAAAATAATAGGAATGTACTTAGAGTACAACCTGGCAGATAAAAACACTCAATAGCATAACTGATACTTCTACGGTTTTAAATGCTGTGATCTTTTGAGAATAGTCGTGGGGTGTCACTTAGCCTTGGACATGATATGTGGGAACATTGTTCCGTTTTCAAATTATAATCAATTTCGGTTCTCATTTACCAATGTAATACAATTTTAGATCCTTTGACTTCTGGTAATATAGAAATTCAGCTGTTTCCCTTAATGCCTGTTTTTAAATTGACAACATTTGTATGTATTCGTGGTATACAACTTGATGTTTTGGTATGGGTCTGCATTGTGGAATGGCTAAATCAAGCTAATTAACATGTGCATTACTTTACATACATATTTGTGGTGAGAGTATTTTCCCTTGATTTGTCATTTCTGGGCATGATACTTGTGTTTGCACTGGAATTAGCTGCACATATGGAGTCAGTGCACTCTATCATTGTTAATGTGAGATTAGTAGAGATGTTTTGTAACACCAGTTAATTCCTTCTTAGTATTTTTTAAATCTTGGACATTATCTATGGCTTTGTAGGAGCTGTTAGTTCACTTGTGTGGGTTTATTCTCTCTTGCTGTCTTGAAACTTTCCTTATTCTGTTATTTAGGTAAACTCTGAAACCTGCGTTTTTATTTCCTGTATCATCTGCTAGGTTTCTCTTGCAACTGGGGAGATGATTGAGAGAGACATCTTCATTTGAGTTGTTAACGTGATTAACCATGCACCAGTAACTTTTATTCTATTCCTAATCCTTATTGAAGAGCCAATTCTTGTTTTGAACTATGTTTAACATCAGAGCTTTGACAGATGCCTAAGGGACATGAAGTAAAATATCTCTTGTATAGTCAGTCACTAGTTGAATTGGAGCATTTAGATTCAGACCCATCTTAAGAGACGGTACTCTTCCTTCATTTTTCTTTCTTACGGTTGTCTCAGTGCACCAGCTTCCGCTGAGTTATGGAATTAGAAACTTGTTAGTACTTTCACCCTCACCACCCTCACCCTCACCAACTAGTCTATGGATATTTTTTGGTTAAATCCCAGGAAGCAAAGCCATCAATATTTTTCCTTAAAATACCCCCACAGCTGCTTGTTATAATATCTCTGACACTGTACTAGAGATGGTAGAGATAAAAGCCGAGTGGTTGCCCTTCTTTAGAGGTGGGACTTTGGGAGCAGACAAGAGAAGAATGAAATATTATTGATTCTCCCCTGTACCAGACACCTCAAATATAGAACAACCCCATTTTATTTAAGTGACTTCAGCATCTGAGGATTTTAATATCCACGGGGGTCTTGAAACCAGTCCCCAACAGATACTGTGGGTCAGCTATACACGATCTTATTTAAACCTCTCTCCAACTCTGAAGAGTAATGGAGAGCCAAGTCATAGATAGCTCAGAGAGGTCAAGTCACTTAGCCCCAAAGTCCTGCACTTTTCATTCCTGCTGTCTCCTTTGTGATGAAGGAAAACTGAACTTGGGTAGCTGACTTGTAGCCATTGACTTCGCATTCAGTTATATGGTTAAATCCACTTGTGATGGAAAAATGGCTCTACTTTAGCCAACTTCAATGAATAGATCTTCACTGCTAGTTTTCTAATACTCCATCATTGCTAGTTT